ATATAATTTCAAAGAAAGTAGTAAAAGTCGATATTTTTCACCAGATTAAGATATGTAAATTCTTCTTATAGGGTAGTCAGTGGTAGTAACTTATTTTAGTCAGACAAACGTTTAATATTCTTTCAATTATATGTTGGCAGTGGTAAAACATAGTTTTAGTCAGACTATTATAGAGAGTTTTTAAAAATGAGAATAATTAAAATTGCAAATATTTAAACAAAATAAAGTAACTAATTATCACTAAAAATCAATTTTCCATCAGACGAAAAACGTTGTAGATTTTTTTAATCGTTAGAAGTCAGTAATAATATTGTTGTTTGGTCGGACAAATTTTTTTATAATCTTTCCAACCAAATTCTCAGTAGAGAAGGGTATTTATTGACAGACAAACGGTTCAAAGTCCTCTAATGATATTTAAAATAAAAAATTGTACATATCAGTAGTAGAAGACTGTTTTAGTCAGACAACGTGCATAAAACTTTTAAAAATATGTACCTATGTATTGTAATTTTTTATTAGTAATAATAAAATAGTCAGACTTTGAAATTGTACAATTGTAAAAATCAGTAGTAAAATATTGATACAATCAGAAAAATTTTGTAAAATCAATAAAATTAACACAGCCAGTAAAAATCAGTAAAAAATAAGTAAAATTACTTCGAAGGAGATCGAATAAGACAAAATGTATTTTAGTCATAATGAAATTTAGTTTTACGTAGAGAAAATTATGTTCTGTCAGAAGGAGATTAATTTCTTCGTGTAATAAAATTCACAGGCAATAAAAAATCAGCAGTCAGACTTTAAAATCGTAGAATATTTTAAGAATCAGTAGTAAAATATTGTTTCAGTCAGCCAAGTTATTTAAAATCCATTAAATTTAAAGTTGTATAGCAAAAATTAAATTTTAGTCAGACTTCAATTATTTTAACTTTTTATTAGTGGGAAAATACATTTTTAATTAGGCAGAAGGTATTTCAAATTTTTGTAATCTACATTTAAGTAGGAAAAATCGCGTACAGTCTTACTTTCTTCGAATAGTAAAATCTAAAAGTAGTAAAAATTAGTCTTTCGTCAGACACTGAAATAATATAATTCTAAAAATCAATATAGTAGAATACAGTTTTATTCGGACTTGTGTAGTAAAAATATTTTTTTTCTCAGCCTTTAAAATTCTAGAATTGTAAAAATCAGTAGTGAAATAGTGTTTCAGTCAGACAAGTTTTTAAAACCAATAAAATTCACACATGTTGTAAAAATCAGTTTTCAGTCACACTTTAAAATTATATATAACTAGCTGTCGTACCCGTCTTCGACGGGTTTTAGTTTCTACCAATACATTTAACAATGTTTCTACCAATCTGGAAAATCGGAAAATAGCCGGGAATTAAATTTGACCGGAAAATTAATATTTAATTACCATTAGCTATTTCGGTAGTATAATATTACTATTTGAATAGTCTCCACCCTTTAGCAAAAAATCAAAAATTATTAAAAATTCAAAAAACTGAATTTCTTAAAATTCAACATTTTTCCTTCTTTTTTATGGCATTTAGCTTCATTATTTTTGTGCTCTTTAAAAATACTTTACTTATTTAATAGTCTCCACCCTTTGGTAAAAAATCTAAAATTATGGAAAATTAGCAAAAAATTCAAAAAACCGATTTTCTTAAAATTCAACATTTTTTCCTCTCTTTTATGGGATTTAGCTTTATTATTTTTGTGCTTTTGGAAAATACTTAACTTATTTAATAGTCTCGACTCTTTGGTAAAAAATCCAAAATTATCAGAAATTCGAAAAAATTCAAAAATCCAAATTTCTTAAAATTCAACATTTTTCCTTCTTTTTTATGGCATATAGCTTCATTATTTTTGTGCTCTTTAAAAATACTTAATTTATTTAATAGTCTCGACTCTTTGGTAAAAAATCTAAAATTATCAGAAATTCGAAAAAATTCAAAAATCCGATTTTCTTAAAATTCAACATTTTTTCTTCTCTTTTATGGGATTTAGCTTCATTATTTTTGTGCTTTTGGAAAATACTTTACTTATTAAATTGTCTCGACTCTTTGGTAAAAAATCTAAAATTATCAAAAATTCGAAAAAATTCAAAAAACCGATTTTCCTAAAATTGAACATTTTTTTCTCTCTTTTATGGGATTTAGCTTCATTATTTTTGCGCTCTTTAAAAATACTTTACTTATTAAATTGTCTCGACTCTTTGGTAAAAAATCTAAAATTATGAAAAATTAGCAAAAATTCAAAAAACTGAATTTCTTAAAATTCAACATTTTTTCTTCTCTTTTATGGCATTTAGCTTCATTTTTTTTCTCTAATGTATCAAATTTCTTACTTTACATACTGATCTTTAAATAAAAAAACTTAAATAACTTTTCCTGAAAAGCTTGCTTTAAAAGATTAAAAATCACTATTTTTTTTGGAAAAAAGTTGATCTAAAAAAACGAAAAAAATTTTCAAAATACGTCTTTTTTAAAAATTTTATTGTAGAAATGGGTTGTATTTATCTGAAAAAGTTAGCTAAGGATAGTTTTGCATTCATTTTACAAAAAATAAAAAATTCGCATTTTTTTTATTTTTCGAATTTTTTGGAAAAATGTCATAACTTTCGTTCAAGTTAATATTTTTTAATCGGATAAGGCTATGATTTTAAGTTACGTTAATACCTAATAGACTGCCAAATTTCACTTTAATTGGTTAAACCGTTTTCAATTGATGCGCGAACAAAGTTTTGCATACAGACAGGCAGAAATTTTTTTTTTACATTTTTCGAATTCTAATGTCCCAAAACGAAAAAATATATAAAAATTTTCAAGTTTGGAGCAATGTGCAGACAGAAGTCTGATTTTATTAATATAGATTGTAAAATAAGTAGTAAAATATTTGTTTAGTCATACAAGTTATTTAACATTAATAAAATTTACATTTAAGTAGTAAAAATCAGTTTTTAGTCAGACATCTATTATATTTTAATGTTCGCATTATTAGTAAAATTACTTCGAAGCAGATTCGAATAAGACGAAATGTTTTTTAGTTATTGAAATTTAGTTTTAACTTTTAAGTAGAGAAAATCACGTGTAGGGGAGAGTGGGGCAAAATGGGGTACCTTTTTGAAATTGGCTGTTTACAGAGAACCAAACGAATAAATCGATTCAGCTAAACTTCAGAATTCTTCTTTGTACACTTAGCTTTGAGGAAATTATGATAATAGCGGAGAAAAAAATTTTTGAAAGAACTTATATCGTATTTTCTGAGAAAGTGCTAAAATCTCATTTTGCCCTACCCGTGGGGCAAAATGGGGTGTCATCAAATAACTATACAAAACATGGAATATTTTTTCAAAATTCATTAAATTCTTGTTGTATGAGATTATAAATACAAACAAAAAGTAGGATTCTTTATTATTATGAAAAAACAAGTAATATTTATTAGAATTTAACAAAAAAACATGGATATTGCAAAATATCGATATACTGATAATGAAACATCGATGGTATAAATTTCCAAACAAAAATATTGATTCTTCTGTAGGAAACCTTTAAATATGCATAATATAATGTTTTTAAATAGTTTTAATGAAGCGGCGTAGCTTCCGGCATGCCCCACACTTAGGTACCCCATTCTGCCCCACACTGCATATTAAAACAAAATGCAATGTTTACAAGTTATTGTAAACAATTAAACAATCTATTCTATTGGAAATTACTCTAGAATAAGTACTGAAAAAGATACCACACTTGCCAAATTAAATGCATTATCCCAAAAAGTTTGGTAAGCACTTTAATTTTGAAAAAAATTCATATTTTTTTTGCTTAAAACTTAAAAGTTGTATAACTTTCAAAAAAAAATTTTCTTTGGAGTGTCTTCATAATTAATAACAGTTTCTTATCAACATGAATGATATATGTCGAGGATAAAAAAATTAAAAGTACCTATCATGGAAAAACAGAGGTACCCCATTTGACCCGCCTACCCCATTTTGCCCCACTCTCCCCTAGTTAGACGGAGATTAATTTCGTCGAGTAATAAAATCCACAGTAGTAGAAATCAGCTTTTAGTCAGACTTTCAAATTTTATTATATAAAAATCAGTAGTAAAATAGTGTTTCAGTCCGACAAGTTATTTAAAATCAACAAAGTCTTTTTCGAGTAATAAAAGCCACAGTAGTAAAAATCAGTTTTCAGTCAGACCTTAAAAATTGTAGAACTGTATAAATTAGTAGTAAAATATTAATTCAGTCAGACAAGTCTTTTAAAATCAATAAAATTCACACAAGTAGTAAATAGTATATTTCGTAACGAGTGCGAGCAGTTGTCAATTTTTAAATGAGCACTTTTTTGAGCACTAGTTACGAACGATATTTTTCATAACAAGGTGCAAAAAAGTGCCCTTTTTTGCACCGCGTTATGAAAAATCAATTCTTAGTGAGACTTTAAAATTTTATAATTCCAAAAATCATACAGGAAAAAAGCTGAATAATTTATGTTAGGAGTAAAATTAGTTCAAAACAGTTTGTGAACGTTCCCAGTAGTAAAATATTGTTTTAGCCAGACAAGTTATTTAAAATCCATAAAATATACATCTGAGTAGTAAACATTAGTTTTTAGTCAAACGTCCACTTAGAAAAATTGCAAAACTTTTTATACATTCAAAAATAATATTTTGAGTAATGAAAAATAATTGAAAATTTGTTAGTCTCCGGAGTGAAAAAGGAAGAAAAAAAAATTTCTGAATGAAGAGTGCAACTTTAAGAAGTAATTAAAGCAAGAAGTTATATGAACCATAAAAAATTAACTACCAACGTCGGGAGAGATGCATATACTTGTTTTCGCGCACAGCACATTTATATATATATATACGTATATATATATGAAAAATCTATAATAAACACGCTATATATTAAAGGAGATATTTCCCAGGAGTTAACAGGGCGGAAATTGAATGAAGATCTCGAGCTAAAGGTAGGAAGAAGCTTTAAAGGTCACCTTGATCAACGGAAGTTCTCCTGCCGTCCTGAGGATTAAATCCCGTTCTCGGAAGTGCTCTTCTTTCCTGTCCGCCACCTCCCCTGTCAATACTTCCCCGGGGACTTCGCTCCGGATCAGGTCCACCGCCGCCAATTCTCTCAGCCTCAGCGGACATTCCAATACTTCCCCTCGGCGATCGATTACTGTCCGGACAAATTGAACCCCTCGGCGATCGGCTAATATCAATCGATCCCCTTGGTGATCGATTCGAATCGGGAACAATTGATCCGCGCGGTGAACGATTTGTATCGGGCACTATCGATCCCCTTGGACTTTGATTGTGACACTCGGAGCTGATTGATCCACGTGGACTGCGGTCCATTTCAATGGGAATCGCGACACTGCCTCTCGATTGCATTCGCGATATATTTGATATATCGGGACAAATCGAACCCCTTGGACTACGATCGAAATCAATATTCGCCACACTGCCACGCGGACTTCTCAATGGCTCCGGCACCAATGAATGTCTTGGACTTCGATTAATTGGTCCCCCATTTAGGCCATTATCACTTAATAAAGTTCTCGATGAACTCTGAGGCACAAGACTGTTGCGGGGACTTCTATTGTAGCCAATATCGGACGGTACCAATGAATTTCTTGGACTCAATGCCGATTCAGGAACTAATGAATGCCTTGGACTGCGCGTCACTTCGGGTATTAAACTGTTACGCGAACGACTTATGTCGGGCACAAGACTGTTGCGTGGACTTCGCATTGGATCGTTTGGTACCAAGGAATTTCGGGGACTTCGATTGTAGTCTTCTGGTATTAAGGAATGTCGTGGACTGCGATTTCCGTCTGGGGATGGATTCCCCCGAGAGATCATTGTCTCTGGATCCAATGGTAGCATTCTTCGATTCATTGCCTGGAAGAGAGAAAAAGATTTTTGTTATTTATATTGCTTTTATACTATACTCAGAGATGCTTATACTCTAGAGAATTTTTTTTATTTCTTATTTCTTTTGAGATGTGTTTTTATGTTTTATATATTTTTATACTGAGATAAATTTTGCTTTTCTTTATTTGTCACGCTTTTGCGTTTTTTTTTATTACCGAGACGTTTTTAAAAACAAAATCGAAAAAACAACTGAAAAAATTCTATAGAATTTCATTAGAACGATTTTATAGAATTTCTACATGAATTCTACTAATTTTTATTGATCTTTAATTCGAAAGAATATAAAGAATATAAATTCAATTATTTAAAAAATTTTCTATAAATTTCTTTGCAATATAAGTCAATTATTTTTTTAAATAATAAAATTTTTACAGGGATTCAATTATTTTTCTAAATAATAAAATTCTTTTTAGGAATTTAATGATTTTCATAAATAGTAAAACTCATCACAAAATTTCAATTATTTTAATAAATAAAATTTTAATCAATTTCCTTGATAAATGTAATTAATAATTATTATTAAAAATTTTATTAAAATTCGTCAAACGAATTAAATTATTTAAAAATTTATTAACAAAATTCTTTATATGAATTCAATTTTAAAAAAATGGAATTTTAAAGAAGTTACAAATGATTGCAGAAATTCAATTATTTTCAAAAGTGATAAAATTCTTATCACAAAATTCAATTATGTTCCAAATTTACAAAAACATCTTGACAAAATTCCAATTATTAATTATTATCTTTATGAATAAAAAAAATTCTTCTAAATTCAATTATTTTTAAAAATTTTAATAAAATTCTTGACCAAATTTCAATTATTTTCCAAAATTTTACTCATTTTTAATGATTTTTAATATCTACTATTTTAATAAAATTTTCCAAAAGAATTTAATTAATTGAAAAAAATTTTCATAAAATTCTACACAAACATTTAATTATTTTCATAAATAATAAAAATTTCACAGGAATTCAAATATTTGCCATTGTTTTATAAGTTTCTTCTCAATATTTCAATTATTTTCAGAAATAATAAAACTCATCGCAGAATTTCAATTATTTTTAATACAATTTTAATCGAATTTCTTGAAAAATGTAACTATTCTAAAATAGTTTATTAAAATTCGTCAAAAGAATTGAATTATTAAAAAATTTGTTAATAAATTTCTTCATAAGAATTAAATTTTAAAAAACATTCAATTATTCAATAAATAATTTACTTGTGTATTTAAATAATTAAATTCTAGTAGAATTTTTTAATAAAAATTAATTTTAAAACGAATTTCAGTTACAAACAAATGAATTTGAAAATCCTCAAAAAACTTTTTCAAGAATTATTAAAAATAATGGATGTACAGAAGAATTTTAATTAACACTAAAAAAATTTTCATTTTGGAGAAATTAAAAATTATTACAGACATTCAATTGTTTTTAAGAGTAATAAAATCCATCGCAGAAATTTAATTATGTTCAAAAATAATAAAATTCTTCTTAGGAGTTCAATTATTTTCATAAATAATTTAACTCAATGCAGAATGTTAATTATTTTTAATACAATTTTAATTGAATTTCTCGGAAAATGTAATCATTCTTAAAAATTTTATTAAAAATCGTCGAAAGAATTCAATTATTAAAAAATATGTCGATAAAAATCTTTATGAGAATTGAATTTTAAGAAGCATTCAATTGTTCAATAAATTATTTATTTTGGTATTTAAATCATTGAATTTTAGTAGAAGTTTTTAATAAAAATTGATTTAATAATGAATTTCAGTTAACATTTTTGATAATAAAAGAAAAAATCAGTAGTAAAATATTGTTTCAGTCAGACAAGCTGTTTAAAATCAATAAGATTCCCAGAAGTAGAAAAAATCAGTTTTTAGTCAGACTTTAAAATTGTAGAATTGTAGAAATCAGTTTAGTAAAATTTAGTTTTAGTAAGACAAGTTATATAAAATCCATAAAATTTATTTTAAGTAGTAAAAATTAGTTTTTAGTCAGACTTTAAAATTCTATAATTTTAAAAATCAGTAGTAAAATATTGTTTCAGTCAGACAAGTTTTTTAAAACCAATAAAATTCACACAAGTAGTAAAAATCAGTTTTCAGTCCACCTTAAGATTATATAATAGAAAAAATCAGTAGTAAATTATTTTTTTAGTCAGACAAGTTATTAAAATCAACAAAATTTACATTTAAGTAGTAAAAATCAGTTTTTAGTCAAACAGCCATTAAATTGTAATTTTGGCAATAGTAAAATTACTTCGAGGAAGGTCAAATCTTACAAAAGGTTTTTTATTTTTTGAAATTTAGTCTTAAAAGTAGAGAAAATCATGTTTTGTCAGACAAAAATTTTTTTTTCCAGTAATAGAAGCCACAGTAGTAAAAATCAGTTTTCATTCCCACTTTAAAATTACATAATTGTAAAATAAGTAGTAAAATATTGTTTTAGTCAGACAAGTTATTTAAAAACAATAAAATTTACATTTAAGTAAAAAAAATCAGTTTACAGTCAGACTTTAAAATTTTATGATTGTAAAAATGAGTAGCGACATATTGTTTCAATCCAACAAGTTATTTCAAGTCCATAGAACTTACGCTTGAGTAGTAAAAGTCAGCTTTTAGTCAGACGCCCATTATATTGTAATTTTGGCAGTAGTAAAATCACTTCGAATCAGATAAGATGTTTTTTTGTTTTTGAAATTTAGTCTTAAGTAGAGAAAATCATGTTTGGTCAGACAAAAAAATTTTTTTCTAGTAATAAAAGCCACAGTAGTAAAAACCAGTTTTCAGACCGACGTTAAAATTATATAATTGTAAAATAAGTAGGGAAATATTGTTTCAGACAGACAAGTTACTTAAAATCAATAAAATTCACATAAGTAGTAAAAATCAGTTTTTAGTCAGACGTCCATTATATTATAATTTTTTAATTGTAGTAAAGTTAGTTCGAAACAGTAAAGTAGAGAAAATCATGTTCGGTCAGACGGAGATTAATTTCTTCAAGTATAGTAATATCAAAATTCAAAAGTAGTAAACATTAATTTTGAGTCATTAAAAAATGTGTAATTGTAAAAAAAAAATTATAAATAAAGTTTGCTTGCTCAAACTAAACATTTTTCTCACTAATAAAAAATAAAAGAAAAATTGAATATCCAGAGAAACATTTTCTTCACATTTTAATTAATGTGTCGTATTTTTTATTGACAATCGATCATAAAAAAAATAATAAAACAAAAAAGAAAGAGGGAAAAAAATTGAGAAATTTAATGCTGTATTATATAATGAAATACCTACAAGAGTAGTTGGGTTAAAAATGAGTTACAACAAATTGATAGGTTTTAAATGAATTTGTCTGTGAAAAATAGTGAAAGAGAGAAAGTTAATTTTCTCTACATGTCAAATTGATTTGTACATCGAGGCTTTTTCACTCGAACAATGTAGACGTATTTCACAATTGAAAAAATCATTTTCGAGGTTGAAAATCAAGTTTATATTGCATATAGTTCCATTGGAATTTAGAATGGATATATACATATTGAATATTAATTGTTTTTTCTAAAAATGAATATTTTTTCAAAGAAAATTTCAATCGTTAGAAATGCACAAACATTCGAATTGTTATAAAAAATGTTTTACATTTTTCTATTTTTTTAGTTTCGTTATTTTCTTTACTATTAAATACTTTTATGATTTTTAAATTGATTTTTAATGAAAAAATTTTAATATACTAACTTTCTTTTCTTCAAACTTTATACAATTTATGGCCTCGAACTTATTTTTTGTAAGTTAGAAAATTTTTTATTTATGCTTGAAGAAAAAAATTGTTACTTTTCGCAAACTTTGGAAAAATTTTAGTTTTTTGAAACTTAAAAATCTTTTTATATACACAGTTTTTCTATAAGTATATCAAATTGAAACAAAAAACGAATCAAAACGTTGCTTCGCAACACTTTTGATTCGTTTTTTGTCTCTATTTGATATCCATAGAAAAATTGGTATTGTTTTTCAGAATAATTAAAATTGGAAATTTTTCTATAAAAGATAACAAATATAAAATAACTTTTACTTCTGAGAAAAATCCAAATTGTTTGGAATTTCTGAAAAATTGCATTATTTTCAGAATAAATTTTATTAACCTCAAAGTAAATTTTACTAATTTTCAATAAAAACTACTGAGGATATTAGAAAATGTACTCTGGAATTAATGATTTTTAATAGCAAAATTTACTATTTTCAAAGTTAATTTTTTTATAAAAATTATTCAAATTTTTCTCGAACATTACAAGTAGCTATTAAAAATTCCTATTTTTAGAGTAAATTTTACTATTTTCAAAGTAAATTTGTCTAATTTTTCTAAAAAAAAAAATTGTCTTTGAAAATTTTAAAAGTTATTCTAGAAATAATTTTTATTATTAAATTTTACTATATTTGAAGGAAATTTTTCCAAGTCCCAAATTAAGTTTACTAATTTTTTTTTACTGAAATTTACTTCGTATTTAGTAAAATTCATGAGATTTTAAAGCAAAAGTAGCGTTATAATAAAAATATATATTATATATTATAATATTTATATTTATTTATATTTATTATTATATTATAATTTCAATTATTTTTAATTCAATTTTAATCGGATTCCTCGAAAAATGTAATTTTTCTTAACAATTTTAATAAAAAACGTCAAAAGAAATCAATTGTTTAACAATGTTTTGAAAAAATTCTTTATGAGAATTCAATTTTAAGAAATATTTAATTATTCAATAAATTATTTATTATTTAGAAGATGAATTTAAATAATTGAATTCTTGTAGAATTTTCTAATAAAAATTGATTTAAGAATGAATTTCAGTTAAAGTTTTAGATTTGAATATTTATTAATGTTAAGAAATATAGATTGGAAGAAATAAATGAAAAATAAAAATTATTTGTTTAATTAAAATCTATTTGTTTTAAATATAAATATTTTTTCAATAACAGAGAAAAGTATAGAAATAGGAAAAAAAATATTATTTTATTATTACCTCGTCTTGTGAGGTATTGTTGTCAACGTCGAGACTAATATTGGGCACTGTGCTGCCTCTGCGAGGCATCCTCTGTCTTTCCATTGTTACTAAATTTGACAAGGAATCAGATGATGCTTCGGAAGTTATCACAGATGGTACAGTGGCCAAGGAAGCTCTGCGACCACCTGCAACTGTCGATTGATTTTGAGATGTATTTCCGATAGCACGCGACGTTCTTTTACGTCGCGATGACGTACTACGATGAAGCATCATTTTTCCATTCTAGAGGGTCTGAAAATATTCATAAAATATTTCCCATTATGCAAAGTATAAAAATAAAAAAATTTCTCGATATATTAAATTTTTCCATTTAATCGAAAATATTATTTATTAAATTTATAAATTTAAATATATCATAATCATTAAGTAATTACTTTAAACAATTAGAACACTATTAGAAATTCAACAATATTTGTTTAAAATTTTTAAATTTGTTTAAAATTTTTCTAATGACTAAAATTTACATTTTTATATTTTAACTAATATCACCGAGTGATAAATTCAAATTTAAATATTTATTCTTTAAATGACCTTTATCGTTATTCTGTAAATATTTTAATTATTTAAATAATTATTCTCCTTAAAATAATAAACTATAAACAAAAATATAATAAATAAATAAATAAGTAAAATAATATAATATACATGTCTGTATTCTAATTTTTAGAAATAGTAAAACTTCAAAGGATTTGAAATTGGAATTTTTTAAAAATTTAATTTTCTTCTGCCTTTATTTTTTAGAATTCAGCCTCTCTTTGCAAGTTTCCTTTTCCCTCATTTATAGCGTGTATAAAAAATTCAAAAATATTTTATCTTTAATAGCAACGATCATTACTCTCTCGACATTTGAAAATTTATACAATTTAAAAATATATATCAAGTCAAATGAAAATGTCAAAGAATCATATATAACTTGAATATATCGTATTTGACAAACATTTTCTCTCTCTCATATATATATATATATATATATATATATATATATATATATATATATACGAAAAAATATATATATATGAATTCTGTTCTAGTTTAAATTAAAGGTAAATATTTAATATTCAAATTTAATTAATTGCTTGCAGTTTCGATAAGTTTGAACAGAATATAATGAACAAGTTCATTACGAATTTTCATTTAAGTTGTTTGACGATTCAATAAGTTGTTGGAATTTTGAATTTTTAAAAACTTTTTTTCAGTGTAACCGCAATTTTTACCCTTTCCCATGTTTTAGTATTTTTCTTTCAGTATATTTTTTTTCCTTCAGTAGGTTTTAATTTTTTTCTTTCGGTAATTTTTTGTTTACTCAGTATTTATTTTTTTCTTTCAATATTTTTTTTTCTTTCAGTAAATTTTAATTTTTTCTTTCGGTAATTTTTTTTTTCATTCAGTATATTTATTTTTTTCTTTTAGTACCTATATTTTTGTTTCCTTCAGTAAGTTTTAATTTTTTTCTTTCGGTAAATTTTTTTTGACTCAGTATTTATTTTTTTCTTTCAATATTTTTTTTTCTTTCAGTAAATTTTAATTTTTTCTTTCGGTAATTTTTTTTTTCATTCAGTATATTTATTTTTTTCTTTTAGTACCTATATTTTTGTTTCCTTCAGTAAGTTTTAATTTTTTTCTTTCGGTAAATTTTTTTTGACTCAGTATTTATTTTTTTCTTTCCGTATATCTATATTTTTTCTTCCTTCAGTAAGTTTTAATTTTTTTTCTTTCGATATATTTTTTTCATTCAGTATATTTTTTTTCTTTCTGCATTTATATTTTTTCTTCCTTCAGTAAGTTTTAATTGTTTTCTTTCGATATATTTTTTCATTCAGTATATGTTTTTTCATTCAGTATATGTTTTTTCTTTCACTATACAGTTTCTTTTTCTTTTAGTAAAAAATTTTTTAAAATATATTTAAACAATACCCAATTCTCTTCTATTCCAAATTTACAATTGACATGTTTTTATTTAATTGTTCTTGAACGAACAATTTTTGTTTCTTATTGTTTGCGAAAACAAACTTTCAGAAAAGATTTCCCCACTGAGAAAACTTTTTTTTTCTGCTCGAAATCTACTGTATAAGGGAGATAGAAAAAAAATATAATGATGATGATATTTTTTTTTCTTTTTTCACTTTATAAACAGGACTTTTTTTGTTGCCCTTTTGTGTTCGTGGTTTGGAGTCGTAAATAATACTTTCTTGATTACTTTCATCTAACTCTTGAGAAATTTAATTACAATTGAGGAGAAAAAAACCAGAGAGAGAGAGAGAGAAAGAGTTGTTAAGAAGAATTTTTTAAAAATTGTTACATGAAAGTTTAACGACTTTTATTTTTATCATTAATTATTATGCGAAACTATTAACTCCTATGTCTTTGTTCTCTCATTTTATTCTGGAGCGAGTCTCCAATCGATAACAACGATTCATTGACATTTTTATTTAAATATGCGCTATAAGAGACAGAGGGAAAACAAGGCTGCAAATAAAAGTTTACTGACAGTAATATAATGTATAGAAAAAAAAATTTTCTTATTTTTTACTTTAGAAAAAAATCACTTTTCTCCGGGAAAATTTTTTTAATCACAAAATTTGATTATTTCCAAATGAAGAAATGGAGGCAAAAAAATTGGTCTTTTATTTATATTAAATTTCTATTTAATTGTTAATTATTTAGTTAGTTAATAACTCTTCGTTCAAAACTCAAGAATATAAAAATTATTTTTCTATAAATATTAATAATAATATAAATATTAGAAAAAGTAAAATTAATAATAATAATAATAGAAATAATAAAAATTGTTTTATTGTAATCAAAATTCATAATATTATTTATAGAATAAAAATAGGTTCTATGTAATCAATACATTCTCATTATAATGCAATGGTTGAAGCATTCGGATCTAATTTTAACGGATTTGATATATTAACGGTCAAAACTATTTTCGATATCACTCAGTTAAATTATTTCCGCATTTCCAAAATTTCTACACATTTTGCTTATTTTCCAAACAATTCTTTACAAATATAGAAAAAGAATGTTATTTTATTTATTTTGCAAATACAAATAAAAAGAAAATTCACGAAATTCCTTTTTTTGTATTACAAAACAATCGTTTATAAATAGAAAAAAATATCAACTTATTTTTTTCCCAACGAAATAGAAAAAGTAATAAATCATAAATAATACAAAATTATTCAAATAAAAAGAAAAATTTTTTTTAAATTAATTTATTTTATGGACAATAGTTTAAAAATAGAAAAAAATTTCAAATTATTTATTTGACAATCAATTGTTTATAAATAGAAAAAATAATCAACAAATTAGTTTTGTTTATGGAGAATCTTTTATAAATGGAAAAAAAAATTACTCATTTTTATTCTGATCAATCATTTATAAATAAAAAAAAATTTTCACTTATTTATTTAACAAACAATTGTTTATAAATGAAAAAATATCGATAAATTTATTTATTTTATTAATTGTTTATAAATGTGAATCTTCCGTTGTGAGGGAAAAAATAAATACAAAAAAAAAAACCACAATAAATTTATTTTCCAAATAAATGTATTTATTTATTGTCTATAAAGGCTGAATACAGAAAAATTTACAATATACTAAAAATATGTTTAATTACAAAACGTAGAAATTAATTAAAAAACAAAAATTTTTAAGCAAAGGATTTTTATCATTTCAAGCAAATAAAATAATTTTTACGGTAAAAATTCAGAATGATAATTATTTTTCAAAAGGGGAAGAAATGAAAATATGAACAAATTTCTTTTCAAATTAAAACTGAAACGAGAGCAACCAAATATTGAAAAGAGCAAGCAATTTTGTTTATTTTTTTTTTAGTTTTGTATATATGTATATATATATTACTGTTATTACTGTAACATTAAAGGCTACCTTTTAATGCGCATTCAAAGGTTTTGAATGAAAAAAAAAGAGAAATACTTTATATAAGCTGTCCTGTGATAAAGAAATTTAAAACCTTTTTACGCATTTATGAAATATTTTTATTTTCTACATATTATATTTTTATAACGTACATTTTATTTTGCAAAAAAAGGTTTAGTTGAAGTTTTTTTTTTAATCAAGGCTTTTAAACTTTATAATATATATTTTTAATATGCGAAAAAATAACTCTTAATAAGTGTATATGATAGGTCGAAGTTTTATAAAAATAATATTTTATATAAAGAGGATAAAAAATTTTTTCATTTTAATTTTTTTGCAAAAAAACGTGCGTTTAAAACGTTGCTAATTCTATTTTATTTATTATTAGTATTATTATTTTTATTTTTACTATTTTTCAGGGTTGCCACACGTCAGGAAAATCAGGGAATTCAGGGAAAAGTCGAGGAAAATGGAATTAGTCAGGGAAATCAGGGAAAAGTCAGGGACTTTTATTAAAGTATTGGAAAAAATTAAATTTGCAGGATTCATAATTAGTTTTCTTTTTTTTTTTAATATATATATTTAATTAATTATCAAAAATCACGGATTCATAGAAGAATTTTAGTTAAAACCACTAAAAAAAATTGTATTTTAGAGAAGTTAAAAATGTTTACAAAAATTCAATTTTGATCAAAAACTTAAAAAAAATTCTCGTCAAAAATTCAATTATCTTTAAAAATAATAACATTCTTCATTAAAATTTAATTATTTTTATAAATAATAAACATTTCACGCAGGAATTTAACTATTTACAAATTTTTTATAAATTTCTTCGCAATAATTCAATTATTTTCATAAATAATACAATTTTTTACAAAGATTCAATTATTTTCATGAACAATAAAATTTTTTACAAAGATTCAATTATTTTCATGAATAATAAAATTTTTTACAAAGATTCAATTATTTTCATGAACAATAAATTTTTTTAAAAAGATTCAATTACTTTCATGAGTAATAAAACTCATCATAGAATTTCAATTATTTTCAATTCAATGTTAACCGAATTCCTTGAAAAATGTAATTCTTCTTGAAATTTTTATTAAAATTCGTCGAAAAAATTCAGTTATTTAAAAATTTGTTGATAAAATTCTTTATGAAAATTCAATTTTTAAAAAAATTCATTTATTCAATAATTTTTTTCATTTTTGTATTTAAATAATTGAATTCTCATAGAATTTTCTAATAAAAATTTGTTTTAAAAATGAATTTTAGATAAAAATTTTAAAATAATTGATAATTGTTCATTTATTTCTTTCAAAGAATTTTAATAAACATTTTTT